CCTTCTCCTTTTTTTCCCCAAAGCCCCAGTAGATAGTTGTATGTCATAGTTGCACATCCTTCTAGTTGCTGTATGTGGGACGTGGCCTCAGCATGGCTGGAGAGGTGGTGCGTCGGTGCGCGCCTGGGATCCGAACCCCAGCCGCCAGTAGCCGAGCACGCGCACTTAACCGCTAAGCCACAGGGCTGGCCCGGAAATATATTCTAATTTTAAGGTGAATCCTATTGTGCTGCAAGTTTAATGACAAGTATAAAATTATAAATTAAGAAACAGGAACTGATATTTTCCTTAGCTTAGGACAGTGATTCTCAATTGGGAGTGATTTTGCCCACCAGGGGATATTTGGGGAGACATTTTGGCTGTCACAACTAGGGGGCAGGGGTGTTACTGGCATCTGGTGGGTAGAAGCCAGGGGTGCTGGTAACCATCCTATAGTGTGCAAGAAAGATCCCCATAGCAAGGATTTATCTGACCAAAAATACCAATAATGCTGAGGTTGAGGAAACCTTGGCTCAGGATAAAGAAAAAAATGAGAATTGTCTTGTAGTGACAGCAATAATGATATTTAGAAAGTATTAAGGTTGACAAAAAACGGCCAGTTTTTCTAAAAAGTCAACTTTAAATCTGCTTAAATATTTATTTAGAATCTTTTTTCCCCCTCATTCCATAAAAGAGTTTAAAAATAGCAGATACTGTTTTTAAGCTTGCATAATCAAGTGTTACCACATGTGAAGAAACAACTTGGTGAATCTTAGAATGTTTAAAAATCCATCCCTGTACTTATTGACATGCTAGCCTTCTCCATCTATCTTGATTTGTAAGACTAGTGAGACTTCAGAACGTCTCTGGGTGGTGTAACTGGATGCATTCAAACTGGTAATGGTCAAGAAGTTTTCATAGAAAAGACCTTTGACTTCAGGTGAGAGTCAGATTGAAGCTTTTGAAGATGCATATGGGCTACATAGCATATATTTATAAAGATTTTAAGCACACATTCTGATTAGTTTACCTATAGGACTGAGATTCTTAGTTGGCATTAGGGAGTCAGAGAACCTTATTAATTTGTATGTAAAACATTTGCATTTGGGATGGAATGTACATTTTTCTGTGGGAAAGGTTCATGCTTTCATCAGATTATTAAATGATTCTGTGAACCATTCATGTAGAGGGAAGGCCCTACCTTCCTCTATGATTTTCTTAGAAAACCAGGAAATAAGAAATGATTCTCTTTTGTCTGCAAACCCATACGGTCATGGATATGGGTTTTATGTTACTTGCTCATTGATGTTTTGCTTTTAGGTTGAAGATGAACCAAACAAGATTTGCGAAGCCGACCGCGTAGCCATTAAAGCCAACATAGTGCACTTGATGCTTAGCAGCCCAGAGCAAATTCAGAAGCAGGTAATGTGAGGCCCCGCTTTTAGGCAGGCCTGTTTGTAGAGTTTTTATCTAGTTAGTCTTTTTTCTCCCTCCAGTTAAGTGATGCCATTAGCATTATTGGCAGAGAAGATTTCCCTCAGAAATGGCCTGACTTGTTGACAGAGATGGTGAATCGCTTTCAGAGTGGAGATTTCCATGTTATTAATGGGGTCCTTCGTACAGCACATTCATTATTTAAAAGGTATTGATGTATAAATTTGTATTTTTAAAATACTTTTTTCAAATGTTTTTAAACAGTTATATTTTTGTGACTATTGTCATTCCTTTGAATATTATAATCCCAGAGTAAGCATAAGCCTCTCAATTCATTATCATGTTTGTCTCTTCTTAAGTAGGATGTTTATTTCATATTGCTCTATTACCTGTGAAATACCTAGTGTCCATAAACTGTGCTTGAGTCCTTTAAAACGAAAACAAAGAATTCCCTTTGAATTTCAGAAAACTGTCTAGCCATAGTTTTTTTCTCTAATCTATCCTTGAAGACCTAAAGTCAATAAATAAAACTTGTAAATCTACCTATTTTACCTTAATTTTCTAGATATCGCCATGAATTTAAGTCAAACGAGTTATGGACTGAAATTAAACTTGTTCTGGATGCCTTTGCTTTGCCTTTGACTAATCTATTTAAGGTATGGAATAACATCTTTGTGATAGTTTTAAATTACTTAATATTTTAAATTGCTTATATATTTATATAAATTTTAAGAGAATGCTTTGAAAGCTTATTTTATAGGTAATATTTAGAGCAGCATTTTTTTAAAAAAATTTTAAACCTACACGGAAATAGAGAAGATGGTAAACTTCCCATAAACTCCCATGTATCTGTTACACGAGTTTAACAGATACTAACATTTTGTTGTTGTTTTTACTTTTTCCTCTCCTCCATTTTGTAGTAATAGTTAAAAGCTAATCTCAGCATCATATTTCACTCAAGTATTTGAGTATGTCTCTTTAAAGGAATAGATCCACATTTTGATTTGATTGTTTATGGAGTTTAGTGATATATTTGTACATCATCTTATAGTGCTCAGGTGACTTTCCTGAACATGTTCTTTATCTTTGTGAGAATCCTAGAAGATTGAAAGAGATGTATGGTTAAGCTATTTTTCCAGATAAGAAAAGAGGGTTCAGTATCACACAGCTAATAAAAAAGAGAGCCAGGCCTCAAACCTGGTTTTGCCAACTCTAGAAAAGCTGCTCATTTTATATTTTCAAATGGGAAAGTTGTGTGATATTCACAACTTTCTAAAATGTAGTGTACACAGGATTTTTCCTGGTTAGGATGTCTTGCTGATGGTGCATTGTTACTTTAAAAAATAAGATTGGACAAAATATGACCAATTTTTTCACCCTATTGGATTGGCAAAGATTTTTATTTCTTTTTAATGATGTTAAAAGTCTTAGCCAGGGGCCGGCCCGGTGGCACAAGCAGTTAAGCGTGCGCTTTGCTGTGGCGGCCCGGGGTTTGCCGGTTCAGATCCCGGGCGCGCACCGACGCACCGCTTGTCAAGCCATGCTGTGGCAGCATCCCATATAGAGGAAGATGGGCACGGATGTTAGCCCAGGGCCAGTCTTCCTCAGCAAAAAGAGGAGGATTGTCAGATGTTAGCTCAGGGCTGATCTTCCTCAGCAAAAAAAAAAAAAAAAGAGGAGGATTGGCATCAGATGTTAGCTCAGGACTGGTCTTCCTCACGAAAAAAAAAAAAGTCTTAGGCAGAGTGCAATGAAATGAACACTGGTGTCCTGTCCATTGGATTGTAAGTGGTACTAGCTTTCTGGAGTTTGACGTTTCGTTACGAAAACCTTAATATTCATGTAAGGATCCTAACTCTAGGATATAGGAAGTAACGTTTGTTAAGTGTCTTTTTACATAGAAGGTGTACACAAAGTACTAGGGCCTTTTATGTCTATTTTCTCTAAGAGGCGGGCATTGTTCTCATATTACAGATGAGGAGATTAGGGCCCAGTGAAATAACTTATTGCTTAAAGTAATGCTGATTATGAGGAACAGAATCTGGGTTGTATAAAGGTCTATCTGGCTTCCAAAACCCGTGCACATAGCACACTGTTCTGCTTTGGTAATACATTTCTAGAATCTCAAACTACAAAAATTAGAGGTGTGCACAAAGTTTTACAAATAAGCCTGTTTATTGCAGTTAGAATATTGAACAACTGGAAACAACCTAAATGTCAAGTGGCAGGGTAATTACTTAATGAGAGCATGTGAAAACAGATTTGTGTAATATATTTATATGTATGCACAGAATAGGGTGGAAGGATCTCCTTCAAAATATTAACCCTGGACTTTTCAGTAGTACTATTATGGACAATTTAAAAATACATACTTTAACGTATTTTTCAAAATCTCTTAAATGACTGTATACTAATTAAAAGCCAAATTTTAGAGAAGAAATATAAGTAGTCTCAGCCTAGTGCAAGGCCATTTCACTAAGGTCTGCAGTACACTAAAACTGCCCCTAATTTCTTTCCAAGGCCACCATTGAACTCTGCAGTACCCACGCAAATGATGCCTCTGCCCTGAGGATTCTTTTTTCTTCCCTGATCCTGATCTCAAAACTGTTCTACAGTTTAAACTTTCAGGTAAGTTTTGTTTTATTTCTTGCTTTTGATTCTTATTCTTTGATATCCAATGTATCGTTTTTCACTCGATTAAAACTTCTTTGCCAGCATTGATTTTTCTGAAAGAAATTAGTTTTATTCTGACTCCTCTCATTCTTTTTTTTTTTTTTTTTTTGGTGAGGAAGACGAGCGCTGAGCTAACATCTGACGCCAATCTTCCTCTTTTTGCTGAGGAAGATTGGCCCTGGGCTAACATGTGTGCCCATCTTCCTCTATATGGGATGCTGCCACAGCATGGCTTGACGAGTGGTGCGTCGGCGTGAACCCAGGATGCGAACCCTGCGAACCGTTGCGCCACCGGGCCGGCCTCTCATTCTTTATCTGCGAATAGTGTTCTACTTTATAGTAGTTCCTAGAGAAGTTGGGGGATGTTTCATGGGGAAAAGTAGCATTCTCTTGTATTCGGGTAAGTTAGGGAAACTTTGCATCCTAAATCACTGTTTTGAAGAGTCACCCTGTATGCTATTTTATTAAAAACACTGAGAGATGACATTCTTAGGCCTTCCTCTTTTGTTCATTTAAGTAGATATTAACACTGGGGGAACCACGTTTTGATTAGTGGGCTCTGCCTAGCTTATTCAAAGAGGCTTTCATGGGCCAGCCTCGTGGCCTAGTGGTTAAGTTTGGCACGCTCCACTTTGGTGACTGGGGTTTGGTTCCCGGGTGTGGACCTACATCTACTCGTTGGTGGCCATGCTGTGGCGGTGACCTGCATACAAAGTAGAAGAAGATTGGCACAGATGTTAGCTCAGGGTGAACTTTCTCAGCAAAAACAAAAAAGAGAGGCTTTCGTGGGAGGCATATCTGAGAGACAGAAGGCTGAAGAAGCAGGCTTTGGAAGGTGTAAGAACCAGGCATTTCAGAGGAAACACGGCCACAGTCCTATAGCAGAAAATACCTGGTCACTCTGTTGCTACTGGGAGAGTGGCCACCAATCATTCTTTCTATTCTTGAATCATTACTTTAAGACAGAGTTCCAGGACTGAGAAGGGGGTCTTATTGGTATACACTACTATACTGAGATGCAAGAGGAAGGGTCTGGCCTTTTCATTGTTTATAGCCAGAGCCAAGTACCTGGACTTAATCCTTACAACATGACAACACTCACAGTGGTAGGGAGAACATTCCCCAAAAGGACTAGGTAGAATAGGGGATGTACAGCGCAATACCCACCTCAGTGTTCAGCTGGACAGCAGTTTGAGAAATTCTTACAGGATACCACTGTTTTCACTTACACCTTCTTTTGAATTCTACTTGCTAGAAGTCAGGTAATATGAGGCTCTTAATAACTTGTTAGACATAGTCAGGGAGCCCAGAGGAAGGCGGCATAATCTTTCCCCTTGAGGGGCTTATCCCTCATTAAGCAAGCAGTATTATGCCACAGGAAATTAGTAACTATAAGACAATAAATCTGAATTGCTGGTCATCTTACAATAAATGCAGTAGTTCAGAAAGGAAAAGGAATATATTGGTAAGCACTGAGTTTTGTAAGGAAAGTCTTCATATAATTTTAATTGGACCTTGAAGGAATAAGTAGATTTAGATTGGGACAGGAAATAGAGGTGACATAATCTGTGGTTGAAAGTATACAGAGCAAGAAGTCAGAATGGTTTATTCAGCTGCCAGACCTAGCTGGAGCAGAGAATTCTTGTCAAAATAGGTAATGGTTGGCTCGGACTGAGAAGTGTGGAGTGGAGTCTGTAGGCATGTGGAAGATGTGGGGAAAACTTATTAAAATAGCATACTTATTTATTTCAATCAAAAGTCTCAAGTCAGCATTTATTCTTTAGGATCTCCCTGAATTTTTTGAAGATAATATGGAGACTTGGATGAACAATTTCCATACCCTCTTGACTTTAGATAATAAGCTTCTACAAACTGATGTAAGTATTGTTTAAAATGTTTCCCGAATAGCCTTTTTTTAATTTAAGAATTATTTGAAATATAATGTTATTTGTCAATTATATCTCAATTTAGAGAAATGTAAAAAAAAAAAATTGAGTACCCTCTGAAAACCTTGGAGGATAATTTCAGAAAATGAAATAAAATTATTTAAAAACATTTAGCATTCTCGTTCCTTAAAAATTATTTACTCTTGGCATTGTTAATAGATAACATTCTAAGAATGCAAGTAACATTTGATCATGTGGGATGTTCCATATTTGATTGCTTGTAGTATACAGAATTACTCTTATTGTGGGCCTGGCTTAGGTAACAATTTATAGATAAGGCTATTTCATTACATTATTCAAAGTAAGGCCTCAGAGTATTCACATTGTGAACATTTTATGAAATAGAAAATTATTTATCATTGAAGGTATTAAGAAAACTTGAACTTTTATAGTAATAGCCTCCTTTTAAAAAGTCATCCACAGTGTGGGAAAGAGAGAACACGATGAAAGTTTGTAATGTGTGAAAATTTCTGACCTGGATTTTGTAATATGTACTTTTCAATGTAAGCACTTAGTCTGTGTTACTCATTTGCTTGATTATTAATATATTTATGATCTATCACTTTCCTAAGAAACAAAAACCTTTTGAGGGCTACTCTTAGTGATTAATAAATGAGAAGTATTTCATCTTTTATTTATTTGAAAGACTAGGTAAATAGATTGAGAGTGACATAGATGTAGCTTACAACACTTGGCTTTGGATTTAAAGATTTTATTTATTTTATTTTTTCCCCCCAAAGCCCCAGTGGATAGTTGTGTGTCGTAGCTGCACATCCTTCTAGTTGCTGCATGTGGGACTCGGCCTCAGGATGAACGGAGAAGTGGTGCCTCGATGCGCACCCGGGATCCGAACCCGGGCCGCCAGCATCGCAGCGCGC